AAAAAGAAAAACATTGACATTGAATTCCTCACTGAGCGGCCTTGAGATCTGGATTATTCAGTAGAGACGAGACACACATGCAGTAAAAAAGTAAATCTTTCTGTAATGGAACAAACTGAATGCAAATACTTTGAAAATATTATTTGTGTAAGCTAAATCAGCAGTGGTCTCATTGTGTGACCTAATATGGTATTAAATGTCTTTATTCTTGTTATGGCCAAATTGTAATGGGATCTCATCACCAGAGATTTGTATCATCAGTTATTGTAATGAAAATAACAAAGACAAGATCGATTTTGAAAGAAAGAAAAGAGGCTAAACCAGTTCAGGCACTTTCTCCAGTCGCTTCATGCGTCACAGAACTGATAGACATATTTACATATAGTCATTTCCTGGTCGATTCTGCTGTTCTTTGCTGTGATTACTGGAGGTTTGACGTTTCAGTAGCTGCCTGCTTCAAGGATTTAAATGAAAAAGAAAAAAAGAAAAAAGGAATAAATTCTTCCAGATCTGGATTTAGGTGAGTGTCATATGAATGTATAGAATGTTTTGCATTTCTAGATTGTATTCAGATAAGGATTTTGCCTAATTCTGATTTAAAACAGTTTTTGCAGAATTTGAGTTCTAAGAAAGTATATGTCTTATGTCACTCTTTTGCTTTGATTTGAAAATGTTTCAGAGATCATCAGTAATCATTAAATTGTGTACATTTGATTCATTCTGTCTGACCTATAAATAGTGAAGAATGTTAAATATTTCTTCTTCATTGAACGTCATTTCTTAGTTTTTCAACATCCAACTTAGGCCTATTTTCCAGATGAATGGCAATCTCAGACATTCAAACTTTTATTCCGACTCTGTATTTCATTATGGGCCCTCCGAAACCAGCTCAACTGGTTGCTCCAACCACATTAAAAAAGTTACAATAATAAACATGTGAAAGCGTGTTATATGATATGTTATAGTTAGATATGGCACCGCTAATGCAACATGCATCGCCGTGAATTCGTAAGTATTTTACGAGGTGGCTAATTCGTATCACCTCACTTGTATGATATTGTGCGATTTGTCTTGACCCCAGTGATGGGTAGGTTAAGGGCCGGGGTTAGGTCATTCGTACGAATTCATACATATTGGAGAACTCGTAAAATACGTGTGATTTAGCAAAATTCGTACAAATTCATACAAGTGAGGTCGTACAAATGAGCCACCTCATAAACTCTGTATGAATTACCGTGAGATCGGGTTGGAGTATCTCTTCAGCAAGCCGATGCGCAAACTGCCGCAAATGAAACTGAAGTAAGACGCAGATGCTCACAATCATCTTCATTAAAAGTAGTGAGACTAACTTATCTTTACAGTGCTGATGCCGCGCTCTCTCCTATTGCGGTGTTTGATCTTGAAGTTAGCTGATAATAAATAAAATGCAGCGCTTATCTGTTGCATTTGTTGATGTGAAATTTGCATATAGTGCGGGAACTGAAGATCGGATATATATCCGTTTTGCGAAGACACATTTACGTGGCCAAGTGTAAATGGAAACATTTTAACAAATCAATAAAATGCATAAAGTGACCAGGTGTATATGATTACTCTGTTACTAATGTCTGTTCAGTCAGAATTAAACGATTTCTCTTTATTAGTTATGCATTTTTGTATTTTTGTGTTTTCTGCAAAAGTTGATGCCAGTAGGATGACAAGAAAACTAAAAGAGATGCCAATGAGAGACCAAAATACATCTGAAGAAAAAGAAAAACAGAGAAAGGAAAGTGCACTGAGAGACGAAGGCAAACCTGTGCAGAAGGAAAAAACAACAAAGAGAGGGAAAAAAAATGCCTGTGGATTCAGAGAACACCGAAAAGTGCACCGGATGAACAGCCTTAACAAATATCGACCAAAGTGTAAGAATGTTTGAGAGGAGTTTCAGATATGAACATAAATAATCGTAGAATCACATGATGCCTATGTGTATGATGTGGATGTTTACCATAATAAGATTTGTGCAGTGCAGAACCAGACTGTTTTTTTAGTTAAACTGAATAAATGTTCACTTCATAAGAATACATATGAAGTGAAATCCTGCTATAATAAATCAGAATGTATCACATATTTATCACATATGTATCACATATATAAAAACCAATTATTTACTGGTTTTCACCAAACACTGCAACACTGATTCATAAAAGATGAATATCAATGGAATAGTTCACCCAAAAATTTTAATTTGATGAAAATGTACTCACTGTCAGTTCATCCAAGATATGGATGAGTTTGTTTCTTCATCAGATTTGGAGAAATGTAGCATTCTATCACTTGCTCAGCAATGGAGGCTCTGGAGTGAATGGGTGCCGTCAGAATGAGAGTCCAAACAGCTGATAAAAACATCACAATAATCCACATGTAATCACACCACTCCAGTCCATCAGTTAATGTCTGGAGAATATAAAAGCTGCATGTTTTTAAGAAACAAATTTTAACATTTTAATAAGTTTTTAACATCAAACTGTTGATTCTGACTAAAATCTGAGTCCATAATCCATAATAACGCTTCCTCCAGTGGAAAATCAGGATATGAATCAGGATATCTGAATCAGGAGAGAAATCTGCACAGATTAAGCACCGTTTACAAGCCAAAACAGCTCTAAACAAATATGTGGCTGGATTTTGATGAAAGAGGACAACAGGAGATGGACTTTTTCACTGGAGGAAGCGTTATTATGGATTATGGACTCATATTTAGCCAGAAGCAACGGACTAAAGTTGAAAAAGTCTAAATGATGGATTTGTTTCTTACAAACACGCAGCTTTTGGCATTAATTAATTGATGGACTGGAGTGGTGTGGATTACTTGTGATGTTTTTATCAGCTGTTTGGACTCTCATTCTGACGGCACCCATTCACTGCAGAGCATCCATTGCTGAGCAAGTGATGCAATGCCACATTTCTCCAAATCTGATGAAGAAACAAACTCATCCTAATCTTCGACGGCTTGAGGGTGCATGAGCACATCTTCAGCAAATTTTCATTTTTTGGTGAACTGTTTTTTTAATGCATGAAGCAAATTTAATGAAATGGCAGTTTTTTGTTTTATTCTGGGGTGGAATATGATCAGGAAGGTTGATGTGATTCACTCAAACAGTAGCCTGAATCTTTGTTTATTTGTTTTCAGTCTCTCCTCATCCATACTGACCTGCAGAAAATCATTTTATGTGAGAGATATTCAAGGATGAGGTGAGAGATTCACCGCTCATTTTCAAAGAATTGGTTTGTATGTGTTTTGATTTCTAACATTGTGTTTTTCTCTTCAGAAAGAAGCTGTTTTCTCACCTAGAATGTTCTTCACATCACTTTCAGTCAATGATTCAAAATGAGACTGGAATACAAAACACCAATATTTTTGAGTTCATAACTTGATGACTATAACTGTACTGTGTACATATTTAAACATATTTAGATTTAATATTGTGCACACAGTCTTATATATGTGTCATATGAAAGTATTATATCAGACAATGTTAAAGCAGTAGCACTGAAATCAAATGTTTGTACTATTTGAACTGTAGCTCTACATAGTTCTCATTTCTGGTATGCGCAGAATTGAGAACAATGACTGTAAAGCAATAGTTGTTCTAGAAATGCCAGGTCGCTCTTTTCCATGTGATCATACAGTGAGACTGGAGATTTCAGAATGAGACTGGAATACACAGCTTGATGACTATAACTGTACTGTGTACATATTTAAACATATTTATATAATTAATTAATTAATTTTCTACACCATAACATGCACTTATAAATCATATTTATAACTAGACCAGGATTATGTATTAAGAAAATAAAAAGTTGAGACAAATTTAATTTTCCTAAATGCTATACTTCAGTTAAATATTTGACCTTTAATAATTACATAATGCTAATTCCTCATTTTATGCACGAGCTCATGCATGTGTTTTTTAATGTTTCAATATATATTTTAATCCATAAAGAACCAATTTGAAGCTTTAAGATTATCTCATTTCACTTGTTTTGCTCACTTAAAAATCTCCATAGGGTTCTATAGGCCCCTCTAGTGGCTGTAACCATAAAATGCAATTTTATGTAATTTTTCCCCACCAGATGGCATCAGAGACACTCAGTGACTCAATTCCAAGGCCATCTGTTGGTTTTTGATGAAACAGGACTGAAATTGTGTCTTTGTTTTATTTTTTAGGGGACATAATGTCAAAAAACTGCTTATTTGCTTATATTTTCTTAAACATATCCAGAATAAAAGGTCAATATAATAAAACTCACCAAAAAAATAATAGGAAAACCTACATAAATATTTAACGAGTTTCACAATTTGAGTTGAATTACTGAAATAAATGAACTTTTCCACGACATTATAATTTATTGAGATGCACCAGTATATCTGATTATCACTCAAACACTTTCCCAAAAGGTCCACAGCACTTACTGGCCTATTCTTTATATTGCTAAAACTAAAAAGCCTATTACGCCGATCATCATATTTAGCTAGTATATATTTAAAAAAACACATGTACTGTTTCTAAAACATCACACGTACCATTTCCATGCTTCCCCATTAATGCAAGTGTTGAATTAAGTCCCGTGTGTCCCAACCTTAATCTAGAAAACATTACCTCTTCCTTTCTATGCCTCTCATAAAATTGTTCTTTTTTCCCTTACTGATTTTACTGTTATAATACCATACCGCCTACCTGTATTTAGTCAATCAATGAACCACGTGGTTCAAATGAAAACAAACAGCGACATCTAGAGGAAGATCTGTGGCACTGACCAACTATTATCATAACTTCATATTGAAGTTATTCTGAGGATCAAGAGTCAAGACAACACAAAATCTTTTTAACCCTGTAAAACCTGACATATGAAATAACAGTCGGAATTATATATATATTTTTTCTTTTAATGTAACAATTTATTTAACCTTTAAACAAAGTTTTGTTTTACAGAATGATTACTATGCAGCTGATAAACTTAAAATTAAAGTACATTCAGTATCAAATTATTTACTTGAAAGTGACAGATCTGAATGTGAATTTTGCTCACTTAGGCAACTTTGGGCAATGCTTTTTCTTATGTTTTAGTAGAGTAGATGAGAAGGTGAAATTCCTCCCACATGAAGAGCACTGGTACGGCTTTTCTCCAGTGTGAACTCTCAAATGATCTTTCAGGATTCCTGACCGAGCAAAACTCTTTCCACAGTGTGAGCACTTGTAAGGTTTCTCTCCAGTGTGAATCTTCTGGTGTTTGTTTAAGTCGCTGGTTGTAGCAAAGCTCTTCCCGCAGTCAAAGCACACATAAGGTTTCACACCAGTATGAATACTCTGGTGATTTTTTACAGATTGCAGAAGTGCAAAACTCTTTCCACAAAAAGAACAAGCATGAGGCTTCACTCCAGTATGAAGTTTAAGGTGTTTTCTTAAGTTTGATGACAAAACAAATGTTTTATCACACTGATCACAGCTGAATGATCTCACTCCAGAATGAGAATCCAGATGCTCTTTGAGAACGCTTCTGTCTCTGAAACTCTTTCCACACTGAGTGCATGTGAAGGGTTTTTCTCCAGTGTGAATTTTCATGTGCGCATTTAGGTGTGCTGTTTGAAAGAAACTCTTTCCACACTGAGTGCATGTATAAGGCCTCTCTCCAGTGTGAGCTCTCATGTGTCTCGTAAGGTTTATTTTATCTCTGTAACTCTTTCCACACTCAGAACAGGTGAAAGATCCTTTGACTCCAGTTTTTCCAGCTTGTTTTTGTGTGAAATTCATTTCAGTCTGTGAAATGACTGCCTTTCCTTCTTCATTCGTGAAACGATGGGGTTTTTGAAACTGATGTTGTTTGTCTTCATGCACTTCCATTGGGTCTAAAATCAACATATAACATTCTCATTATTTAAATAAAGAAGGACAAATGAAAGCACAAAATATACAGGTGCATCTCAAAAAATATGAATATCGTGAAAAAGTTCTTTTTTTTTGGTAACTTATTTCAAAAAGTGAAACTTTTATATATTCTAGATTCATTACATGTAAAGTAAAGCATTTCAAAAGTTTTTTTGTTTGTTTTAATTTTGACGATTAGAGCTAACAGCTCATGAAAGTCAAAAATCCAGTATCTCAAAATATTAGAATATTTATATTTGAGCTTCATTAAATGACCATCCGTACCGTATAAATTCCGGGTATCTCTTGTTCTTTGAAACCACAATAATGAGGAAGACTACTGACTTGGCAATGGTCCAGAAGACGATCATTGACACCCTCCACAAAGACGGTAAGTCACAGAAGGTCATTACTGAAAGGGCTGGCTGTTCACAGAGTGCTGTATCAAAGCATATTAAGTGCAAAGTTGACTAGAAGCAAGAAATTGGGTAGGAAAAGGTGCAAAAGCAACAGGGATGACCGCAAGCTTGAGAATACTGTTACGCAAAGCCGATTCAAACACTTGGGAGAGCTTCTCAAGGAGTGGACTGAAGCTGGAGTCAGTGCATCAAGAGTCACCATGCTCAGACGTCTTCAGGAAAAGAGCTACCAAGCCACTTATGAACCAGAAACAACATCAGAAGCATCTTACCTGGGATAAGGAGAAAAAGAACTGGACTAATGCTCAGTGGTCCAAAGTCCTCTTTTCAGATAAAAGTACATTTTGAATTTCATTTGGAAATTAAGGTCTGGAGTCTGGAGGAAGACTGGAGAGGCACAGAATCCAAGCTGCTTGAAGTCCAGTGTGAAGTTTCTGAAGTCAGTGATGATTTGGGGTACTGAGACGTCTGCTGGTGTTGGTCCATTGTGTTTTATCAAGTCCAAAGTCAATGCAGCTGTCTACCAGGAGGTTTTGGAGCACTTTTTGCTTCCATCTGCTGACAAGCTTTATGGAGATACTGATTTCCTTTTCCAGCAGGACTTAGCACCTGCCCACAGTGCCAAAAACACTTCCTAGTGGTTTACTGACCATATTACTGTGCGTGATTGGCCAGCCAACATGCCTGACCTGAAGCCCATATGGAATCTATGGGATATTTTCAAGAGAAAGATGAGAAACAGTCGATCCAACAATACAGACGAGCTGAAGGCTCAACAGTGCCTCAGCAGTGTCACAGGCTGATCGCTTCCATGCCACACCTCACTGATGCTGGAATTTGTGCTAAAGGAGCCCCGACCGAGTATTGATTTCATAAATGAACATACTTTTCTGATTTGAAAATCCTGGTTTTGATTGCTCTTAGAAAATATTCTAATATTTTGAGATACTGGATTTTTGACTTTCATGAGCTGTAAGCTCTAACCATCAAAATTAAAACAAAAAAACTTTTGAAATGTTTTACTTTGCCTCCTTTTCAGCGCATCATTATCATTTCCATATTTGCTTTGGGAGGTATGTGTCCACTGGACCCCCTTCAGACTAACTTTTAGGGCCACCCACTACCTCTGCGGCCGGCCTATGCCTCTTTTGCCATCAGTCACACCATTAAGTAATAGAAATATAGAGGTCAAACAGGTACTTCAAACTCTTTTAAATTACAGACCAAAGACCAGACTAAGGCTGCACCAGCACATTTCTTGGAGCAGATCTATCTATCTATCTATCTATCTATCTATCTATCCATCCATCCACACATCCATCCATCCATACATATTTTAATTTTCATCAACTGAAATTTTATTTTTGTTGACTAGAATCAGTAAAACGCACAAAAAATAATTCACATGACATGACAAAATACTGGCTAAATTTAAATGATATTTTCATAAAATAGCGCACCAAATGTAGCCAGTGCAGAACTTGGAAACCCACTGGCCCAGAGATGGCAATGAAAGTAAATTTTGCATTTCATTTGGAAATCAAGGTCTGGAGTCTGGAGGAAGACTGGAGAGGCACAGAATCCAAGCTGCTTGAAGTCCAGTGTGAAGTTTCTGAAGTCAGTGATGATTTGGGGTACTGAGACGTCTGCTGGTGTTGGTCCATTGTGTTTTATCAAGTCCAAAGTCAATGCAGCTGTCTACCAGGAGGTTTTGGAGCACTTTTTGCTTCCATCTGCTGACAAGCTTTATGGAGATGCTGATTTCCTTTTCCAGCAGGACTTAGCACCTGCCCACAGTGCCAAAAACACTTCCTAGTGGTTTACTGACCATATTACTGTGCGTGATTGGCCAGCCAACATGCCTGACCTGAAGCCCATATGGAATCTATGGGATATTTTCAAGAGAAAGATGAGAAACAGTCGATCTGAGCTGAAGGCTCAACAGTGCCTCAGCAGAGCCACAGGCTGATCGCTTCCATGCCACTCCTCACTGATGCTGGAGTTTGTGCTAAAGGAGCCCCGACCACGTATTGAGTGCAGAAATGAACTTACTTTAAAGAACTTGAACTTTTCTGTTTTGCAAATCCTTTTTTTGATTGATCTTAGGAAATATTCTAATATTTTGAGCTTTAATCGTCAAAATTAAAACAAAACAAATTTTGAAATGTTTTTACTTTACATGTAATGAATCTAGAATATATGAAAATGTATAAGTTACCAAAAAAAATGTACAAAATTTTCAGGATATTCTAATTTTTTTAATGCACCTGTATAGTCACAACTCAACATGGTCAAAATTTAGGGGGGAAAATTGTCAGTTCTTTTTGTCAGTTCCTCATCAGTCTTTAAAGAGAATGAAGGAAAACACCAACCTGTTTGTTCCTCTGTATCTTCATCTCTCATTCTGCAGGGGTCTTCCTCAAACTCCATCTTTCCAACAGTATGTCAGTAGTTTCTCCTGGAGTAATTCCTCCTGCTTGCTGCTTCTTCAGCTGTGGGAAGATGGGAATATTCTCCAGCATTTAAACTCTCATGAACGGCTGTGGAGCGGCTTCACTGAAGGAGTCAATGGAGCTCATTTAGCAGATGCTCAAACACTTACAATCACTCTCAATCATTCAGCTTTAAGTGTCTTAATCAAATAGTCATTTAGAAACAATTGTATTTATTATAATTTATACAACAGAAAAAAAAGATAAACCAAAATCAATTAAATACTAGTAAAATAAAATGTATTTAAATCATCAAACAGACATAAATATACATTTCACTTCAATCACCACCATCTGCTTACAATGACTGAAATAATCTCAGTTAGAACACAAAATAGAATAAACTGTAACTATATTGTATTGCAATGGGTATAATGTCATTGTTGATATTTAATCAAAACAAGTTTAGACAAAGTTTATAAAATAACATATAGTTTAACAATTAAACTTTAAGTTTAACATCACAGTTTTAACTAAGGGTGCACTTGAAATAGTTACAAATGGGATGTATGAAAGAATGATGAGAGACAGAGATTTGTTTAAACACTTACTTTCATCCAGACTCTAAATAATGACACATATCAAATGTGTGTCATGTTCATCTACTGTACATTAACTGTTATTTTTAAATTATATTTTAGTCTTTATATTCTCAAAAGTGTCATCATTTATAATCAGAAATGAGGTCTAGATTTCCAGCACTGTTACACTATCAGTTCTTCAATTCTCACAGCAGTTCAGAGTGAAGCTGAAAGATTATTAATGAGGGTTGATTGCTGTAATCAGACATCCATTAAACCTGTGAATGTGTGAGAAATAAAGACAAAGGAAGAGTTTGCAAACCATATGGGCATTTAACTATTTAGCCTAGGCGTCCATACGTTAATGGGTCACATTAAATAGATGGATACATTTACACTTTGTCATGTAAATTACTAGTGAGTATCGTGCTTCATACGTTTTTCCTTTTTCATTTCAATTCGCACATGACGAAAGTAATAATTCACAATTCAATCTCTGAGTCGAATTGATTCTGTAACCATTTTTGATTCACTGAAATGAACCGACTCTTATAACTCATTAGTTCGTGAATCGGACACTGGTCGAGCTCAATGCAATTATACGTTGTCAGATGTATTTTTTTACCAATAGATAAAAAATGAATGTAGGCCTACTCACAGGGTGCTTCTCAAAATTAATAGGCCTATGTTGATTTTAGAGTCGATGGGACTGAAAGAAGACAAGCAGCATCAGTTTGAAAAACCTCATCATTTTAAAAAGGAAGATGAAAATGCAGTCATTTCACAGACTGAACAGAATTTCACACAAACACAAGCTGGAAAAACTGGAGCCAGAGGATCTTTCACATGCACTCAGTGTGGGAAGAGTTTCTGTGAGAAATCAAAGTTTAATAGACACATGACAGTTCACACTGGAGAGAAGCCTTATACGTGCACTCAGTGTGGAAAGGGTTTCAGTCAGAAAACAAACCGTAACAGACACATGAGATCTCACACTGGAGAGAAGCCTTATACTTGCACTCAGTCTGGAATGGGTTTCTTTGTCAAAGAAGAACCAAATGTGCACATGAGAATTCAACAAACAGGTTGGTGTTTTCCTTCATTCTCTATAATGACTGCTGAGGAACATTAAGATGAAAACTGAAATATATATATTTACACACACACATACACACATGTGTGAGTATATATATATATATATATATATATATATATACAGTAGACAACATTTGAAGTGGATCAAAACCTTTCATCAAAGTTGTCCTAAAACCAAAACAATACCCGTTCTTGTCTTAGGACAACTTTGATTAACTTTTTTTATCCACTTCATATGTTGACTACTATATATGTAATAAAATATGACAAGAACTCAAGTGTTAAACTGTGTCAGAACAAATTCATCTTGATAATGTCAGATAACTTTGATAGAAAGGCATGTAACAAAACATGGTCAGCTCAAAGTGTCAAATCAAATTTTTGGTCCCAATTTTTTTATCAATTTTACTGGTAGTCCACTGAATAAAGAATTTTTGGGTAATATATGTCAGTTTACTTTATTTTGTTATCCTCACTTACACTGAAGCACAATTTCTATTCTAACCCTTTAACCCAATTTTGCTTCTCTGCTTGCGATCAGATCATTTTAAGCTGCTAAACTTCGGGAAAGTTTTCAGTCCAATGATCCAGTGAGCGAATGCGTTCAAACAATCCGTCCAAAACAGCGATAATATAATGGAAACCAGGCTGATTACATCAGAGATTGCAGAGAGAACAGAGACTTGCGTTGCGTTTTCATTGAATTATTCGTTCCAGTGTGTTTCGCTTTAAAACACGAGCTCTGGCTTATGTTGCTGTGTTTAGTTATTCTGAATGGATCCGTGTACTGTAATAGATATATGCAGTCAGCAGGCCACTGGTTAAGTTTTTTTTTATTTTTTTGGCATGTCCATGTGGTCCTGTTCGGTATCGCAACTTGGCTTCTCTAAAATGTAAAAAAGCTCTTTGCTGTTGCACTGTAC